TGAATTGAACGTGCTGTGAAAACAGGTAATGCACAGCTGATCATGTTTTGGGTACACTTATTCTGAGTTTGCAAACGTGTTAATTACAAGTGAACACCGTTTAAGTTAAACATGGTGACAGGTATTCAAACGAACACGCAGTAAAACACGCTGTGGAACCAAAATCCTCACAGCTGATGTTGTTTTGAACCTGCCAATGCTAGGCCTATATAAAGAACTGTGTTTTCCCGTTAGCTTCAGTCTGGTGCCAAATTGATCGAAACATGGAGGCTCGAGCCAGAGGACAGAAATCACTATAAATCAAAGTTACGGCTTGAAACTGGCGAACAGCTCCCGGATCCTTTCGCAATGACTAGCGGCTGGAGCAACCACATCACATTATTACCAGATTTGTCTTGGAGAGACGTGACTGAGTACCTTACCGACACTCCGAGCAAATTTACAAAAGAGGCCCTAAAAGCTCTAGAAGCATACGACTACTTCATATGCAATCATGTGCATGACTGCTATTACCATGAAGTTTCAAAAGACAGCGAGTTTTGTTTTATCAAATGGGAGGTAAGTTGAATCTGTCTGATATTTTTTTGTATGAACAGGGTCGGGAATAGGTAGCCCCTTGCTACTTTGATAATATGCAGACAACATGGAAAATTATGCCTTTTAACCTCAATCTGATTGTCCTAGATGCATGTTTCTATAGGAAAAGTATATAAAATTATTTCTCAAACAGAACAAGATATTTAACGTGACAAGTTAGATTTCATTGACAGCAACAAAAAAGACTGAACTAAAGCTTTCCATTATCACTTGTATTTTAATAATTGAGAGAAAATACTTTTTAAAATATTTGAAAGCTTCAAGCATAATTCTCAATTGACTAAAACTTTGCTTTCTCATTTAGGTACTGCCAAGCCAACGCCAAGGAGAGAAAACCACTTTGTATAAAGTATGGGTGTGTTTGAACAAGAAATTAGGGTGGTTCCTTACTGGAAACTGCACCTGTATGGCTGGCTTAGGGTCTGCATGTAGCCATTTGGCTGCGCTCTTGTTCAAACTCGAGGCTGCAGTACACTACAACCTCAATGAGAAAACTGCATCTACAAGTCAGTTATGCTCTTGGAATGCAGCCAGAAAACATGTAACACCTGCCCCTGCATCTGCCATTGATTTTTCAAGGCCAAAGAAAAGAACATTGCCAAAATCTCATGAAAAAATAAGGAGCAGTACAAATTTCAGTTGTGAAGATCCAACGATTGGAGAAGGGGCCATCCCTATTGAAAAATTTTCAGAACTAAACAATTTTTCCCAAGGCTGCTGTTTTTACAAGTTTGCCCATACATGAGTTTACAAATGTTGAAGAAAACAAAAGGGAGAACACAGCTGCTCAAGAAATGGATGGAAGTGACACTGATTCTGATATTGAGAGTGACCCAAGTATTATCCCTGAGCCTTTGACTTCTCTTTTTGATCCTACTGCTGTCAACATGGATGATTTTACTTTGGATGAGCATGCCAGGAAACAATTTAAATAATATCGGGAAAATAACTTTAAAAGGGCTTTTGATAACCTTAGAAAATTGACAGAGAAGCAATCGTTAAATCCAGCTTGGATGATGCACAGAGCAGAAAGGATCACAGCATCAATCTGCTCCAAAGTTTCTCGTATGAAAGACAGTAAATCTTTGATTTCGAATATAATGCAATACAATGATGGTTTTACATCAAAATTCACAGATTTTGGAAAGACCATAGAACCCTTGGCAAGAAGCAGCTTTATCAAAACTGAGGAGGACAACCACGCCAATTTTAGTGTTATTTTATCAGGTCTAATTGTTAATGCTGAAGAACCATATCTTGGAGCTTCTCCAGATGGTATTGTTACATGCAGCTGCCATGGAAAAGGAGTGCTCGAAATAAAATGTCCCTTTAATTACAAAGATGGTTTTGATGATTGGCAGCACGATAAGAACTTTCCACTTGCAAGCCTTGGTCCTGGCTTTATCATGAAAAAGAACCATCCTTACTACTACCAAATTCAGCTAAAAATGGAACTATCTGGAGCGGAGTTTGGATATTTTTACATTTTTGCTGGCAATAAAAAGGAAGGGATGATTTGCCCTGTAGGTAAAAAAACAATGACTTCATAACTAAATTAAAGGAAACTCTTACAAGCAAATTGTTTACATCTATCCTTCCTGAAATTGTGTCTAGGAAGACAGAGCTTGGAACACCAACAAATCGTTCCTTATATTGTACATATAGGAGACCAAAGTTTGGAAAAATGATCTTATGTTAAAACAAAGATTGTAAAATTAGATGGTACCACTATCCTTGTGTAGAAATGAAAAGGCGTCCAAATGAAAGTTGGTACTGTAGAGATTGTAAATTTTAGCCCTTATATGACCAAAAAGTCGTAAACCTTTTATTCATGTGATATTTTTAATTTGTGTCTTGTATTTTGGTGTCATATATACATACAGCACCCCTCCCCCCTCATAAACCTGTTTCAGCCTAACATGCATTTTGGGGGAGAAATGGATCAAAATTCTAATGTTCATTAAACAGTACATGTAAATAAAATCAAAACATGTTCTATTTGTTAACAACACTTTGGTTTAAATTTTTAATACCGGACAATGGTAAAAACATACCCTGTAGGTAAAAACAATGACTTTATACTTAAACTAAAGGAGATGTTATAATGCGTTCGTCACAACCTCGTTTTAGTGCTAACGCGAGATAGGTGTGACAGTTTTGAGTTAGTTGAGTTCACGAGTTGAGTCGAGTCGAGTTCACGAGTTATGGAGTTTACAACAGAGTTTTGAGTTATTGCTTTAATAATGTAAATAGTTGTTATGTTTATGAAAATGAGATAAAACCAAGTTCAAGCTCATCATTGCAGCCCACGTCTTACAATCCTCACAATACATGGCGCCCAAGCGCGAGGGCATATTTGCAGATGAAGTTTGAATAGAGTATTCGAGTAAACAAACGAGAAAGATGACGACCGAGTCTACCAACGACGATCAATTAAAGAGGCTGATTCAAATTCGACGAGGAAATCGTTCCGTTGTCACTAAACTAGAGAATGAAGTTTCGTCAATAATTTCGAGAATTAGTGCCAGTGAAGCTTCTAGCAATTCAGCTACAAAGGCTAACTTATTAGCAAGAGTCGAGTCTATTTCAACATCCCTGAAGCAGAAACATCAATACATTACGGAGTTGAACGAACAAATAATCAACAAAATCGACACACCGCTCATAGACAAAGAGATCGATGAGACTTCAGAATGGGATGCAACGGTTTTTGAAGTTATCAACAAAATTGAGCAAATAAAGTTGGGAAGTTATACGCGAGATCCACAGCCCCCTGGCATACCGATTGGCCAGATCGAGAGTAACACGCAGCAAGAGGAACAGGATAGAAGTTTCAGTTCAAGCTTTGTGGCCCAAAATGCGGGCATTCGGCTGCCTAAAATTAATTTACCCAAGTTTGGTGGCGACATTACGGAATTCAATGCCTTTTGGCAGAGCTTTGGGTGCGCCGTACACGCCAACGAGAATATAAGTGCAGTTCATAAGCTGAATTACCTCATGAATTTGCTGGAAGGACCGGCATATAGAGTTGTTGCCGGACTTGATATAACGGAAGAGAATTACCACCATGCAGTCGAAACCTTGAGAGCCAGGTTTGGAAATAAGCAGCGTATAATAAGCGCCCATATGCAAGCGCTACTCAAGCTTCAAGAATTGCCAAACGACAAGGTTTCACACTTAAGATTCATGCTGGATAAAATTAATGTGCACGTACGGGGATTGGAATCTTTAGGAATGCCGCAAGAAAGTTATGGTAGCCTTTTGATCCCAATAATCATGCAAAGAATGCCCGGTGAAATCACTGTCCAAGTGGCGAGAAAGGTTACGGAGGACATATGGCCAATACAAGAAATTTTGGACATTATACGGAGAGAGATCGAGGCACGAGAGTTAAGCGAAAGCGTTTCTGTTACACGAAATACAGTGAAACAAACAACCGAAGGTTTCATTAGCAACAACCAAATCATTTGTTGCCAGAACTAACGAAAGAGAAACATGCTATTTGTGCAGTAAAGGGCACCTTACCATCGAATGCACCGAAATTACAGATGTCAGAAAACGTACAGAGATTTTGAAGAGAGCGAAACGCTGTTTTAAGTGCTTAAAAACAGGACATTTAGCGAGAGAATGTCAAAGAAAATGTAGAAACTGTGGCGGAGGACACCATCAAGTAATTTGCTTCAAATCAATGAAGGATTCAAGTGAAAAAGTGGCATCAGTGACAGCCCTAGCCAACGACAAAAAGCAGGTCTTGCTCCAGACGGCGAAAGCTCAGGCATTTGCAGCAGATGGTGTGACGAAAATTCCAATCACAATATTGTTTGATTCTGGCAGTCAACGCAGCTACATGTCCGAAGAAACGAAAAAGAAGCTATCTTTACCAGTGGAGCATTCAGAAACTCTAAACATTAACACGTTTGGGACAGATAAATATGCTAAGAAATTGTGTGAATCTGTAACGGTAAAAGTAGAGGTAGCAGATCAGGTAGTACTAGTGAATGCATTAGCTTATCCTACCATTTGCTCGCCAATTTCAGCTTGCGTTACAGTTAGCGATTATCCGCATTTGCGCGGCCTACATTTTGCCGACAGCGTGGAGGCTTCTGAAAAGCATATTGATTTATTGATTGGTGCTGATTACTACTTTGAATTCATTACAGGGGACATCATTAAGGGTAGTTCAGGTCCTGTAGCTGTAAAGAGTAAGTTGGGGTGGCTTTTGTCAGGGCCTTATGAGGCTCCAAATGTATCTACTGCAAGTACTAATCTGAATTGTCATCTTGTTTTAGACAGAAGCCTTCAGAAAGTTATTATTTCAGATTTAGAGGCAGGCCAAGAGAAGAAATCAGCTGATACGAAGGAGATTACAGAGTCACTGAGAGAGTTTTGGAGACATGAATCGTTAGGTTTACCCGAAATTGTCCAAAATGAAACCGAAACACCGGACGAATGCAGTGCAGCGGTCGAGTCCAAGGGTGAGAAATTCGACATAAAATTCAACGGAACAAGGTATGAGGTAGGTCTCCCTTGGAGACACGATTTATCTAACGAGCCTTTGTCAGATAATTACGAGTTGTGTTTTAAACGATTGAATTCATTGCATTCAAGATTGAAATCTGATCCTACACTTTTAAATGAGTATAATGCAATTTTTCAAGAGCAGTTGCAAAAGGGGATAATTGAGCGAGTTGAACACAATAACAACAATCAGAGTAAATTACACTATTTGTGTCACCATGGTGTGGTAAGAAAGGATCATGATACCACTAAATTACGTATAGTGTTTGACGGTAGTCAACAATCAGGTCCTGAACAATTATCTTTGAATGACACGTTGTTGCTAGGAGAAAATTTCATGCCTCCTTTGTTTGACATACTAATCCGTTTTCGCGCCCATGCAATAGCATTAACTGCCGATATTGAGAAGGCGTTTTTGCAAATAGAGATCAAAGAGTCAGATCGTGATTCTTTGCGCTTTTTGTGGTTTGACGATATAACACGTTCAAACCCGTCGGTAGTTGAGTTCCGCTGGTGCCGCCTAGCCTTTGGCCTCAAACCTTCGCCTTCGATTTTAGGGGCCACGATTAAACAACATATTTCATCATTTGATGATGAATGCCCGGAGGTGGTTAATGTTTTGAGCCATCTATATGCCGACGACCTTTCGTGTAGTGTTAATACTAGAGAAGAGGCATTTCATTTATACAAGAAATCAAAAGAAATTCTAGCTAAGGGCGGATTCAACTTACGTAAGTGGAAAACAAACGACAAGGCACTCTTAGCACGTATCCAAGCGGTCGAAGGCTCTAACGTTGGGGCAAATGAAAATAACAGTGAGCCTCAAGTTGCAGAGGACGATCAGTCATATAGCAAATTTAGTATAGGGCTTCCCACCACGGACCACACAACTAAAATATTGGGGGTAAACTGGCGACCTGAGTCAGATGAGCTGTTTTTCGATTTACACCAAGTACACCAATTTGCTAAGCAATTGCCGCCAACGAAACGCTCCTTATTGAAGGTCGCCGCAAAAATATTCGATCCTCTAGGGTGTCTTAGTTTGTTCACAATAAAACTGAAGGTTTTCTTTCAGGAGTTGTGCATCGCGAAAGTTCCCTGGGACGAACCGTTATTAGGCGACAACCTTAAGCGTTACGACACATTAATTTCAGATATCAGTGGCATTAAGGGTATCACATTACCACGTAGTTTTGCGAAGCTAGGGCAGAGGGTCAAAGCAGTCGAAATCCATGCCTTTTCAGACGCTAGCGAGCGGGCCTATGCTAGTGTTGTATATTTACGCGTTTTGTATGAATCGGGGGAGGTCGAAATTCAATTTGTTTCTTCGAAAGCCAAGGTATCCCCCATCAAGAAACAAAGTATCCCTCGCCTTGAGCTATTAGGGGCAACACTTATGGGCCGTCTTGTTAATTCTGTGCGTAACGTTTTGCAAGAAGAGTTTCCAACTACGCCATTAAAAACATTCTATTGGGTTGATTCCATGGCCACGCTATGCTGGATTAAGAACAAGAAGGTGTGGAAACAATTTATTCGCCATCGCATCAATGAAATTTTAGATGTTTCCAATAGGGAGGAATGGTTTTACTGCCCTGGACCCCAGAATCCAGCAGATTTGCCATCGAGGGGTAAGGTTGGGTCTTCTTTATCCACTAATTCTTTCTGGTGGGAGGGTCCTGAGTTCCTCAAGCTCGACCCCAGTGAATGGCCACAACCCCCAAACGAGTTTACAAGTTCAGAGGCAATGGAGGAGAAGGTAAAGCATGAGCCTGAAGTTACCCACGTTATGGTTAATTCAGAAGAGCCAGTATCCTTGAATCTGGAAAATGTTTTCGACATTCGTAAATACAGTAGCAAAGGCAAGTTGTTAAGAACTCTTTCTTGGGTTTTGCGCTTCGTAGGCAATTTAAAAGCAAGACTAAGTTGCAAATCGATTAACAAGGAAAACGAAATATCGGCAGACGAAACTTGCAGAGCTGAGATGGTCATTGTTAAGTCTATTCAAAACCAAGCATTTAAGATAGAATTGCAGTATCTTTCTAAAGATAATAAGAGTAGAAGTAAGGCGCCGCTGTATGTAAGCCAATTCAATCTTTTTTTGGATGAGCACGGAGTATTGAGGTGTAGATCTAGAGTAAACAAATCTTCGGTCATTGATTCAGGGAAAAATCCCATCTTACTTCCCCCAGGTAATCATTATGCCTTCTTATTAATTCAAGAGTCGCACAGAAAGGTATTTCACAATGGAACACGTGAAACATTAAATTTATTGCGTCAAACGTATTGGGTTCCACGAGGCAGAGAAATGGTAAAGAAATATGTTCGCAAATGTCTTTTATGTAAGAAACTAGAAGGGTTGCCATTTCGTACAACTTTCAACCCAGATTTGCCGCAAGCTCGA